AAAAATTATAAATCATTGTTTGATATTGTCAATAAATATGCTATCGTTTTTTTTTTTCATTTGATAATCAATGTTAACAAATATAAGGTTTAGAATGGGGTGTAAGTTAGTTATACACCTCGGGATACGGCGTGTCTGGATAAGAAACCCCTCCGGCCTCCGGCCGACGGGGTTTCTTATCCAGACACACCTATCCCTCGGTGTATAACTATTACAGACGTGTTAGGAAAGTCAATACGATTTTGACGCTGATGTTAAATACCAATACCACTTCAGGCAATAGTGGGGACCATCTCAAAAACACAGCTAATAATTCAATAAAGTTACCTGTATGGGTTTGTTTGATAATGCTGAAATGATTTTTAAATAGATATAAGAAGATGTGGTATGAGTGCCAATGAGACAACTCTCCATTCAAGTCACAATTTGTAAAAGTAAACCATTATAGGTCAAAGTACGGCCTTCAACACGGAGCCTTGGCTCACACCGAAGAGAAAGCTATAAAGAACAAACAATAAAATAATAACAATTTATTCCGCAATACACCGAGGAGGATCCAGCAAAACAACATGATCATTATCAATATTATTATCATAAAATTGCATTGTTTCATAATAGTGATCGATTAAGTTTAAGATCGTTGTTCACCCATTTTTTTTTCTATTTTGTTAAACGACTACAAGGAAAATCTGCAAAGTGATCATACTAAATGAATAAAAAAATCCGAATCCGATTTTTTTTTACTATAAATCAAGCTTTGTTCAAAATGTTCGTTTATTTGAAAATTATTTGAAATATACTTTTCATGTCGGGGCCTTTCATAGCTTTTGTGCGGGATGGGTTTTGCTGCTTGTTGGGGGGCCATACGGTGACCTATAGTTGCAAACATTTACTTGATTTGGTCTCGGGTAGATAGTTGTCTACTTTGACAATCATACCACATCTCCTTATTTTATATCATTTTCTAGAATAATAAAAAAAACTAGAAATTTGTGTACTTGACAATTAAAAGATAAAAGAATGAAACAAAGTCGTACTCATTTTTTCTTGGTATCACGGCATCTTCTACCAACAAAACAGAACACTTCGATTAAATTGAGATATTGTTGAAAGTGGCGTTAAACTTTCATATGGAGAAGTAAATTTTATTATCTTTGGGTAAGGAGGATAGTTTGAAAATTGAATATTTATGTTCATCTCTTGCAAAACCTTCTAAATTATATGTCGGTCAATTTTTTTTTCTCAATTTTCTTCATTTTGTTTTGCTTAAATATTCACTAATCACTTCGCTTTCTAAATTGGACGTCCGTCCGTTCTTTCGTCCTTTTGTCCATTTATTGCATTCATACCCAGATAGTAGTAGACAATAAAAATAACATACGGCTCGTGAAAAGTTGTTTTCTTGAACATTAAAACGATTCGCAGCAAGACAACCTTCTTCCAAGAATTTCCACCAACTTAGAATTGGATTTTCCTCCAAACTGTGATATTTTATGTGATAAGCTTTATGCGAAATTTCCACCAATTGTTACGCCATATAGGAGACACAAAATAAGACAAAACCTCAAAGGGAAAAAAGAAAATGCAAAAAACTAAATAGAGGAATTTCAGAATGTCAAGTGTATGTCGAACACGCCATCAGACGTTTAAAAATATTTAGGGTTGTCGGAACTTTGTATAGACATCCAAGACATGAATCAAATCAAATTGTTGAATTGTGTGCTGGACTTGTGGAGAGGCAAACTGAGATATTTGACTATCTAACATATTTTACTAATATCATTTAATGTTTATATTTGGACTTGTGGCCATAAAATCCGTCATTCCCATTCTTGACCCTTACATATACTAGTATTTTTTTTTTAAGTTTTGTTTTGCACTCCTAAATCAAACAAATATAAATGAATGTATGAAGATCTACGTTAGGCCAATGCACGTCAATTTTGATTCGACGTTTAATCGTTCGCTTCATATTGCATCAAACACACTTCAAAGCTAAACTATACTACGCCGGAATACTTTTCAATGCAATTGCATTTTGAGAAAGTCCACACTTAAATCTTGTATCGGTATTGTTATTTACTATCACGTCTAGTAGCACGGGATTTTTAAAGCGCGAATAGTTTTCTTGTTAAAGTAAGTTAAGAAATATTGTCATTCGAAGCTCGTATACAGTGCAGTGCAGTGCAGTTAAGTTTAATAAAATTATCACAGTAAGCTGCACATGCATGTTTACTGTACATGGCGTTTGGTGTGAACACGGCCGAAGATTCTTTAAACTTAAGTTTCGACATATTGTGAAGAATAACCACGAGTTGGCCCTTCTGACTTTTATAAAATACGGGGGATAGGCATCTAAGCTTCTTTAAACCTAAGTTTGAACCTATGGTGAAGACAAACCACCTGGGTCTGTAATTTTCTGTCAGAGTCGGAGTCAACAGTCAGACCCGAGAATTTCCGTAAAGCTGTTTTCGCCGCATTGTTGACGTCGTTTTTATGGCTAATTTTTCTTCCAAAACTTTTTATTTTCTTACATTCGTCTCTTAAAATAAAAATAAATGAATAAACATTTTGTTTCATTTTGTCAAAACCTTATACATGTAAAACGAGGCGAGCGTGGGTGCTTCATTTTTTAAATGTACTTTCTCCGCCTAAAACGGCGATTGTACCACCGTTTCCCTAACTACTTTTCGGTTCCTTCCAATTCAGTTATGAAATCGTTTTTGTACCCATTTTGTATTTCACTGTCTCCCGGCCCATTTCCCGCATATCCTTTCAAATCCATGTTACAATACTGGAACAACATGTTTTAAAGGTTGTATTATTTCCCCCTATTTATTGGCTCTGTGTCCATGATTCGGTAGCGACATAAGCGTGCACATAGGATCCTTATATGAATTGTATAATATTTTTTATCAAAACACACATAATTTTGATTTCAGATGTACATTGTAAATACATGTAAAAATAACTACACTCGTGTGCACGTGTTTAAAAGTTGTGCCCACCAGTTTTATGAAAGCCGTGCGCACCAGTTTTTAATGTCGTGCGTACCGGTTTAAAAGTCATGAGCTCGAGTTTAAATATTATGCACTCTTGTGTAAAAGGTCGTGTGCACGAGTGAAAAAGTCGCGCGCACGTTTTTCAAAATCGTGAGCACCAGATTGAATATCCTGCAAACGAATAAATATATCTATATTTTGTTGACGATATATGCCGATAACACGTTAAACTAAGTTAATTTTTCGATGATCATTTCCGATCTCTGAAAACCAAAAAAAAAAAAAAAAAATTAAGCGTATACAAAATTTCATAGGTTACCGTAGACTTTTTTTTAATCCAAAAACCTAAAGTAAAAAAGAAAAGAAGGGGACCATTGTTCCCGGCCCCCTTTAAAAATAAAAACAAATGTAGCAGGCCCCTTTTTCGAAATTCTGGACCCGATGGGTTGGCGTTGAGGATGAAGGGATGGTTTTTTTTTAAGAATTTCGTTTCAAACGACATGTCCAATCATGTATGCTTACCTATTCGAAAGTTAATATCTATAATAGATAACAATGGACACTGTCAGAAAACAAATGTTTCTTGAGATTTTTCCAGTTTTAAATCTTCACCCTCCTGATTCATCGGAGTTTCTATAACAATTGATTCAGATCATTCTTTCAATTATTCGACCTCCCCTGGACCCTTTAATGGATCTTCGCCTGCTGTTAACGAATTGATAGGAAAACGGGAAAAAATCACTATCTCGCCATACATACGCAAGTGATTATAGTTGACAATAAGGGAAACATTTGCTATGTCAAAAGAGGATTTCAAGGTCACCAAAATGATGCGCAGCAGTATACAATGTAGGATAATGAGACAGATTGGAGCCGGTGCACCGCTAAATTTTCCAGACGAATGTGTGCTGTTATTTATTCTAAAACAAGTTGTTTGCATGATACGGGTTATGTTCTCATATATTTTATGATGGTATGATACTAAACCACTAACGGGAGGTTTGTGCTTGATTTTTATATGATGAAGACATAATCTTTCAATCAGTTGAAAAGAGGTCTAGAGCTGCCATGTCAGTAACTGCTAGTTGTCCCCTGTTAGTTTATGTATCATTGTCAGCTTAGTTATTTTTTTACCTATTCTATTCTGAAATCGGACTTCTTTTAAACTGAGTTTTAATGTGCGTATGGCTGTTTGTTAGTTTATTCTACATTGGCTAGAGGTATAGGGGAAGGGTTGAGATCTCATAAAACATGTTTAATCCCGCCGCATGTTTGTGCATGTCCTAAGTCAGGAGCGTCTGGCCTTTGTTAGTCTTGTATGTTTTTCAGTTTTAGTTTATTTATATGTTTTGGAGTTTGTTGTGACGTCCATTTATATGAACTAGTACACATTTCGTTTAGGGGCTAGCTGGACCCCGCCTCCAGGTGTCGAATTTTCTCGCTGCGTTGGAGACCCATTGGTGGCTTTCGGCAGTTTTCTGTTCTTTCTGGGTTGTTGTCTCTTTGACACATTCCCTATCCCATTCTCAATATGTGGAGATAAAATTTCTCAAAATCGGCATCCCGTAATTACGCGGTTTTAGCGATAGCAAATCAACAAACACCTGGTCACCAGAAACGCAAGTGTCGAAAACTTAATAGAATCATTGCAGCATATAGAATTCTTGTCGAACATGGCCAAAGGTGACCTAAAAATTATAAAGTGATGGGTACTTTGTGTAAGCAACCAAGTAAAACTCAGAAAAGTGTGGAGACCTGTGCAGGATTTGTAAACAGAGGACACACCTTATTTGATTAAATAAATCGTTGTGTAGAATCTTGTTTTAACTGTTATCGTCATTTTACCTTGAAAAGCAAAGTTTTTTTTAGCACATAGACTTTCCGTAAATGTATAATGGAAAGTATATAATTTATTTTTAGAACCAAAATATCTTAAGCAGAAAATTACTATTTATAGCGGTACATTTAACCTCCTGTTACACTTCAGCGGAACTGATTATCATTGTGTACCATTGTGTACGCCACGCCGGACATGAGAATGGGGGAAAATAAAGCATTGTATCTTATCACGTAACACATATATATGATGACGGAATAGATTCCGCTATAAAGCGATTTGCTCATACATTATTGAACTACGTTAATTTTTTCAATTTAGTTTTAGTCTTTAATTCAACATAAGGATGATGACAATTATACTCGGACTACATTTTCTCTGTTTTCTTGAAATATTTTTGCGATGTGAAGTTTCGGCCGGTTTAAGGAGAGGAGGGTAAGTTGTAAAAACAAATTCAATTACATATAGTTAACAATAGTTTATATGGTTTCTTTGAGATATTCTTAGAGGGTCATTTAAGAGAACATGGTTAAAATCGAAAAGGAAATTTTAATCATTTCCCTTATACATTTCAGAATCACGCTAAATTTTAAAGAAGGTGTAAGTAAACGTGTAAGAAAAGTCGATACTACTGTTGGCGCTCGTGTTGGATGCTCAGGTTGGATGGAAGATGAATACAATATGATGTGGGGGTCATCTCCAAAAGTATAAATACTCTGTCGTTTTACATTACCTGTATGGCCACTGAAATACGTTATTTATAGTATTCAGGCATAATCAATCGAGCATTATTAATTATTAAAGACAGAACATTAATTTCTAAATGTGAATTTTAAAATCAATTACGTGGTATATTGAAGATAATTATAACCATACATGTAATTTTCATCATTTGATTACAGAATGCAAAAAGTAATAAAACAATAAGGCAAATCTTTACCTTTTACCTAGCTATAAAATGTAATTATAAGTTATGAATGCTTCTTTTTGTAATTTCATAGGGTTGTAAAAGCATTGACCGTGCGCACATTTTTAGAATGAAGCGCGGAATACAAAATGTACTTCGGTAAACGCTTTAACACCCCTATGAATTTACAAAAAGAAGCGTTCAATTCTTAAATTAGGGGACTCACAAAAAAAAGAGACGAAGGAAGATATGGTCGCATTATGGTTTCCGCTGCAGATATGGGTTTGGCGGTCAAACCCAACTAGAGTAAAGTATTGCTGGACAATGTTAAATGCTACAAACATATTTTATCATATTGTGATATTCCCCGCGGACCCCTCAATTTATATAACGGCTGGTTCGGTGAGAAATCTGGTATTTCACAGTGGCCCCAACCTTTCTTTCTGATATATATATATATATATTTCCAAGCAACGCGTCAATGTCTCTTCTACAACACCTATATAGTCGTTGCCATTCACTAGCTCTGTAATTTTGCCCAAAATTAGCTGAAAGTGTCCTACACCCTAATTTCATTTCGAAAATTTCAGTTTTTATACCCTAACTTCAGATTTTCGAACATAAACCACTATGGACATTTTCCTAAAAGATGCGCCCATTTCTCCTCTATATCACCTTTATAATTATCGTTACCCGTCACAATATCTATGAATCAGACCAAAATAACTTAAAGTGTACCCCATTTTTTTTTTGCTCAATCGCATTATGTCCATGTGTTTATGATCATTGTAACCAGCTGTCTACTAAATGGCTTATATTGATTTATTTAGTTCGAAAATAAAATAAAAATGAAGTATTGGTTCCTTTTGTTTTAAGTTAATTTTGTCGTTTTTGTTTAAGATTGTATGTATTCTCCTAATTGTTCGCTATGTCTCTAGCTGGAAGTTATACCTTCTAATTGTTCGCAATTCTGGCTAGTCACGTTAATTGATTATGGTGATGTTGTCTCTAGATCTGTAAGCCATGTGCTGAAAGATTACACAGTATCCCCACCCTATGCTGACAAACTTTAAAGGATCTAGGGCATAAGTGCTATGGGCTATTTTAGAAGCCATGCCTACCTCTACCTCTGGTTTAATGGCCCAAGTAGAAAATATAATCTTTAATTTAGTTCGCTCAGCATGCAGTTGGATTAAGTGACATACTGGGTAATCCCACCCCACTCTATGCTGACAAACTCGTACGGGTCTAGGGTATAAGTACTATGGGCCATTTTTCATCCTAGAATTGGAGAAAAAAACATTATAATTGATTAAGATAAGTCTTTTGAGTTGATCAACCAATCACTAGAAGGTGCATATACAATTAGGGTCTCTAGTCGGGGCCTGGCCTAGGTGGCCAAGTGGTCTAAGTAGTTCTACTACTGTAATCACTAGCCAGTGAATGAATGAACTTTATTCTCACAAAACTACATGTCATAGTTACAGAGAAAATATATATCTACAATTACATATATGTATATATAAGCATGCACATGTGTGAACAAACGTAACTTAACTTGGAGGACTGACTTTCACCTGTATTATTTTTATAAACTTACATAATTTTTCTAAAATGATAGTATTGTCTGAATTAAATAAACCATTAAATTTGTATGTATTTGGATTTTTACAGCAATATTCAGGTAAAAATTTCTTTCTCTCTACATCCAAAGATTTACAAGTCATGATGTAATGATAATCGTCACCAATACCACTTGAATCGCAGAGATGACAAAGTCTGTCGTTTCGTGACAAGCCTCGCCTTCTTCCCGTCTCAATTGGTAACCGGTGACTTCCACATCTAAATTTGCAGTATACAAATAATAAATTATTAGGCAATATGTTGAGATAATTCTCAAATTTCAAATTAGTCTTAAAAATTCTATAACATAGGCATTTAGGTAAGCTATCTATATGTGACAAACATAATTGTGTGAACTGATCTTTAAGTTTTTGTTCCACACTTTTTGATACCCATTTGTCAGCAAACTGCATATTCCAAATATTAGACATTCCACAATTATCTAAAACATTTTTTATATAAATCAACCATTTACTTTCGAAACCATAGTTATTTAAATTTATATGTAATAATTTATAAAGAACATGAGAAATTTTACACTCTTTACCGTTTATAATTCTGCCCCAAAAATTTATCATACGAACTTTTGCATAAAGAAGTACTGGGAATCTGCCTAGTTCAGCATAAACTATACAGTCTGGGGTTGATTGCTTTAAATGTAAAATGAGTTTGCAAAATTTTAGGTGCACCCGCTCTAATAAGTCAAAGTTTTCAAAACCCCAAATCTCTGACCCATATAACAAAATAGGTACAACAGCCTTATCAAAGAGATCTAGTTGACATTCAATAGATAAATTATTAATTCTACTCTTCTTCAATATAGAATACATAGCCTTTATTCCTTGGTCTCTTAAATATTTTCTAGTTTGTAAAAATGAACCACTTTTTGAAAAAAATATTCCTAAATATTTATAATTTTTAACAATCTCAATTTCAGTATCATTAATAGAGAAATTCAAATTTTGTGGAATTCTACCATTAGCAAAAACAAGAACTTTTGTTTTATCAACATTTACCTCAAGTTGCCATTTGTTACAATATATGGCAAATTTGTTTAACATATTTTGTAATTCAGTGTTACTATCTGCTAATAAAACAGTGTCATCAGCATATAACAATAAGAAAATCTTCAGATACACATCTAGTTCATTTTCTAGGTCTGCACTTATTGTCTGTAAACCTTTTGTATCTAACTCTTCTAAAAATGCTTGTAAATCATTCAGATATACAGAAAACAAAGCAGGAGATAAATTTTCACCTTGTCGTACACCAATTTCACAAGGGAAGAAGTCAGATTTCTCATTATTGAAGACAATACGGGATTTTATATCTTTATACATATTTTGTATAATTCGGAAAAACTTTCCGTTAATATTATTGTTCAAAAGTTTAAATAAAAGGAGATTTCTTTGAATAGAATCAAAAGCTCTCTGAAAATCAATAAACGCACAATAAAACTTTTTCTTCTTTAATTTCAAGAGTTCAAAAAAGGCATAAAGAGCAAAAATATGATCATTTGTGCTGTATCCTGGTCTAAAACCTGCTTGATTTTCTTGTAAAATTAAAAACTCATCTAAATAATCACAAAGTCTATTGTTTAAAATGGAAGTAAATATTTTACCTAAACTGGATAGTAACGTTATTGGCCGATAGTTTTTCGGTTCCCTTTTACTGCCTTTGTTTTTAAACACTGGAATAACATTTCCTAAAAGCCATATTTCAGGTAAGAAACCTGTATCGAAAATTAAATTAAACATATATACATATATATCTAACATCAATTCAGAAGATGATAAAATATATTCATTTATTATTAAGTCGTCACCAGGTGACTTATTATTTTTAACACTTTGTATACCTTTGATAACCTCGTCTCTTGTTATTGTTTTATTCAAGAAATTATTTGATCTATCAGTATCAAAATTGTTATCTAGTTCAATATTCGCTTTATTAAGATTATCTTTATTCAATTCTTTAAAAAAATCATAAAACTGTTTGATATCAATGTCATTATTTACTGTACGTTTAAACTTATTGAAAATTTTCCAAAAATCACGTGGATTTTTCTTACGTAATGCTTTCATTTTCTTCTTCAAATCATGATTAAAGAGACGAATGCTATCATCCATAGTTTTTTTATATATTTTTTCACTATTTCGTAGTCTAACTTTGAAAATATTAGACCCATAATGTTTATACAATCTTAATGACTTTCTATAATCTTTTCTACTATTTTTACAATCGGGATTAAACCATTCTTTATTGTTATAATCTTCTTTTGAATTACTACAATCTTTCGTAAATACACCAAAAGTTTTTTCTGCTGAATCAAGCAAAATCTTAGTAACATTGGTAACAATTTCATTTACACTACTTTGATCCACTTTACTGATATCATCATGTATTTCTAAGATATGTGACAATAATTCATTAACCTCATCTCTGTTTATGTTACTTGTAAAATCAGTACTCTTTTCATGTTTCCATTTACCTATGTATTTGTCATTATTTCTAATACATGTATTTACTTTTAGCATGTCCGATTTTACATTGCAATCTAGTTGTAAAAAGATTGGCGTATGAATATCCGAATATAAATTGCTAAATTGCATAATTTCAAAATCAACAATTTTGTGAAACATATTTGCAGAGCCCAATACGTAGTCAACTACGCTTGAGTTACGACTTGTTGGCTTACCAACTTTGTCAGATAAAAATCGACCGTTCAATATAAATATGTTATTATTTTTACAAAAACTAATAAGTTTTCTGCCATATGTATTTACTGTTTGATCTTGAGAGTTTCTTTTCCTCGGTATACCAAGGTCGTCTAAAATGCCTATTTCAGAGAACTCATTAAAATCAATCAATTCATTCACAAATGTATCATCAAAATCATCCTTAT